TCACAGTTCTAACTCATGTACAAGAAGAGTGCAGAGGGTATCATTACTAAGGTTTTGTATCTTCAGATAATTAAATATAATTTCCCATCATTTCCACCATCTCTTTTTGAATAAAAATGTCCCCTCATCATCCTGATTACCTGCTTTCTAAATTTGATACCCATAATTTAACACAATCCTGTAATAGAGTAAAAAAATAGGTACAGAAATACAGTGTAGTGATTGAAATCATACGCTGTGACATCAGAGGTGCTTGAATTTGAATTCCATCTCTGCCTCTTTTTCGTCTTGTGATCTAAGAAAAATTTCTAGCCATTGAGATCCTTAAAAGGAGGTTATAAAACCTACACATCTGGTATTGTATTAGTGTTTGTTGCTATAGCAAAATATTTGAGGCTGAATGCTTTGTCCATAAAAAAAGGTTTATTCAGTTCATGGTTTTGAATACTTATGAGCATCTGCTTAGTTCTGGGGCGAGCCCCCTGGCTGCATCACAACTCAGTGGATGGCATCATGTGAGAGGGAAAGATCACCTGGCAAGACCAGACAAGACCAGAACCAGAACCCAGAGGAGGATGTGGGGAGTAAGGCCTGCTCTTTCACAAGTCATTCTTCGCCTCTCAACAATCTCTTCCAAGGGCAGCACCCCTAATGACTGATTACCAACCACCAGGCTTCACCCCTTCAAGGTTTTGTCCACCTCTTGACAGGGTGACACTGGGACCTACACTTCTGATACATGAAGCTGTGGGAGACAAGCCACATCTACATCATGGCAGATGCTAAAGAGAATTACAAAGCAGCTTTGTAAACAGCGGTTCAGTCCTTAGAAGAACAAATACCCTGAATAGCCGCACACCCCCACAACCCCCAGAGCGACATCTAGAAATTTGTTTTCTGGAGAGAAACAAATTTTGGCAGATCTATCTACATAGAGGTGGTTGAGGTTGTGGGCACTGTAACAAGAACTACAGGAATGAGTGACCATGAGCCAAATGCCCACAGCCACAGTGCCCCTCCACAGCTGGCTGCAATCACACTGATAGCCAGACTTCCCCCCGGGGCAACAGATGGGAAAACCCTGTTCCATAAAGACTCTGTGTGTCAGTCATTCACTTCAGATAACCCACCAAGTGATTGTCCAAATGCCTCAAAGCTGGCATGGCTGGAGCTTGTTTTCAAAGCTTCCCATCAGCTTTAACCCTTAATCATAAGCAGACGTGGGCTCGAGCCACCTGATAAAGATTTCTCACATGGAAGAGTGAGGGAAAAACAAAAACAACAGAGGAAGCAAAGAATACCGCGAAGGGAAAAGAAAACACTTTTTAAATTTATCTTTAAGGTCTTCAAAAAGATAAAATACAGTGTGTCTATAAACCAAGAACAGGATATTTTGAAAGTTTCTGAGAACAAAAACCTCTTTCAAGCTGAGAACAAAACTAGCAGAAATGAGAAACCCAAGGACAAGGTGGGAAGCTGAAGCTGGCCAAACCTCCAAGCCAGGCAAAGAGACAGGAAGAGAAAAACGGAGAAAAACTGGAAGGGGGCCAGCAAGGTGATCAGCAGACAAAGGTGCTTGCTGCCCAAGCCTGGCAGCCTGAGTTCAATTCCTGAAACCCACATGAGGATGGAAGGAAAGAATCAGTTCCACAAAGCTGTCCTCAGACTCCACACGCATGCTGAGGCATGTGCACCCACACAGATCTATATACACACAGTAAGAATAATAAAATGGGAAAGGGCTGAGGAGATGGCTCAGTGGATAAAGTGTCTGTTGTACAATCATGAGGACCAGAGTTCAGATCCCCGTCACACACCTACAATCAGATGTGGTGGCACACATCAGTAATCCCAGTTTGCCCACATTAAGATGGGAGACAGAGGGGCTAGAGAGATGGTTCAGCGGTTAAGAACACTGACTGTTCTTGCAGAAGACCTGGGTTCGAATCCCAGCACCCATATGGCAGCTAACAACTGTCCGCAACTCCAGTTCCAGGGGATCTGACGGCCTATTCTGTCCTCGCAGGCATTGCATGACACAGGTGCACTTACATACATGCAGGCAATACATGCATATGCATTAAATAAAAATAAATAAAATTTTAAAAAAAGATGGGAGACAGAGACCAGGTAATATCTGGCAGCTCACAGACAGGCCTTTAGCCTGGTGTACACAGTGACCAAATAGAGACCCATAGCTGAGGTTGTCCTGTGACCACACATGACAGGCATGCACCTGCACTCACACACACACATACACACGTGTACACACAAACATACACCATGTGCATGCACAAACACAGATTTAAAAAATTAGGAAAATCCGAAAACTAGCCTGGGAGATCTAACAGAAGAGGAGATTCAGAAAGAGAGAGCGGGGAAAGCCAGGGGGAGAAGCTAATTGACAGAAGCATTAAGAAAGTATTTTGAAGCTGAAGGAAATGAGTTAAAACTGATTAAAAGTCCACTTTCACTTGACTTCAGTGGTTGAAAATTGTCCCACTTCAAAGCACAGTGTTACAGACTCCAGAGCACAGGGACGAAGAGGAAATTCACCAAAGCTCCAGAGATGAAATAGGTTCTGTACCATGAATAAGAATTAGAATAGGGGGCTGGAGAGATGGCTCAGTAGTTAAGAGCACTTGCTGCTTTGGCAGAGGACCCGGGTTCGATTCCCAGAGCCCACACTGAGTGGCTCAGAATGACCTGTCAGTCCAGCTCCAGGGGAATCTGATGCCTCTGGCCCCTTTGGGCATCTGCACTCCTGTACATACCATCCCCCTACACATAATTAAAAACAATAAAAATCTGCAACTTTGCATTAACAATACCAGAAATAGGATGCCGGTGGGAGATTGCCTTCAAAAGACAGAGGATAAAATGCTGCTGTGCAAGTGTGAGGGCCTCACACAAAGCCAGACACCATAGTGCACATCTATAATCCCAGAGTTCTGTGTAGAGGTGGGAAGGAGACAGGAGACTCCCCAGGAGGTCATAGGCTACCTAGTGTGGTAGACACAGAGATGAACAAGAGACCCTGTCTCTAACAAGGTGGAGAGCTGAGGACCAACACTCTAGGCCACCCCCTGACCCACCCAACAGATATTTTTAATTTTTTAAAGTCCAAAAAAGAAGGCTTCTGGCCTAGAAGTCTTTAAACAAGCTATTCCCAACCCTGATGGTAGAGCAGGGAATTTTCAGACATGCACATTCCAAAGCCTTTGCCTCTGGTGCCCCCATTGCTCAGCTGGAAAGCTTGATACCTGCCTCCCCAATGACAGCAAACCAGAGAGAGGGAGAGGCAGAGGGAGAGGGAGAGGGAGACACTAGAGAACAGAGACTGGGACTCCTGAGCGAGGGAAGGACATGACAGATGACAGATCAAAGTGCTGCAGTGTGACTCAGGACACGGAGAAGTGAGGCATCATCCAGGAGCCCACTAGCATAGCACCACCTCCCAGTCAAAGGAGAGAATGTCCGGATTAGCCTGACCTAGATTCTTCCCTGTGCTCGGCTGGCCTTGACCATGTGCCATTGATTCTCCGCTCCCCTTTCATATCCTGCTGCTGCACCAGCTGAGAATACCCTCGGCATCCAAAACAAGTTTTGTGATTGGAACTTTTCCCCAGAACTGGAGATGGGCCGTGAAGGGCTTAGAGGCAAAAAATAGAGAGTAGCCACCTGCCCTGGCCATATTTTTATGAGTTCCAATTTAGCTTAGAAGGGATATGAATATGTAGAGTGAAATTAGCTAACAGAGCTGCGACTCGCTGAGTGGCAGGCCTGCCGTCCCATGCTGTGTGCCTGAAAGGGAGTAAGTCTTTAAAGCATCAAGTTCAGAGGGAGTCACAGAGACTGGAGAACTGGATTTCACCAATCTGTACCATACATCCAAAAATAAATGCAAGTAGGTATTCCAAGAGGGGGAAAAAGTTCTCCTTGTCCAGGAAAATTTGGAAAACTTGAATACGATGCTGTGGAGCTGGGAACCTAGCTCACTTGGTAGAGTGGTTGCCTGGCATGCGTGAAGCCCTGGGTTCGATTTCCAGCACCACATAAACTGGGCATGGTGCACTCTTGTAATTTCAGCACTTGGGAGGCAGAAGCAGGAGGATTAGTTCAAGGTTATCCTAGGCTACATAGTAAGTTTGAGCCCAGCCTGGGATACATGAGACAGTCTTTTTTAAAAAAAAGCTACTGACGATTTCTCTTGGTTTTTAATGTGCTGATAGTTCATCTAACAGGAGGTACAGTCAACAGTGGTCAGTCTTCCTTGGCCCTGTTTCCATAGAACATCTGGTATCCTAAGGAACACACTCGGAATAGTTTGGGATATTAGAGGCAGGTGTAAAAGAAGACATTTAATATGATTTTGCCTGAAAGGAAATAAAATTGTTCTCAAATCTTTAATTTTATGAACGAGGCTTTGAGAGCTTTTTGTGTTACAGCTTTTGGTGAGAAGTGGTTATGTGTGTACTAACACATTCTGGATCTAAGATGGGGCGGGCTCAGTCTTAACTGTGTTTGGCCATAGAGAAAAAGCTGAATCACACTCGCTCTTGAGTACTTGGAGCTGGTGATTCGTTTTGCCATAATAATATCTGTATGGGGGAAAGATGAGAGACTAAGTTTCGGCTTTCTCAGACTTCCTACTTTAAATGCCAACTTCAAATGCTGGCAGGCGTGGAGTGGAGTTTAATACTGTCACTGATGAGGTTTACAGTAGTGTAAAAAATATGTCAGGCAGGGTTTGGACGTCAAGATGAATATTGATTGTTCTATTTTAGGTTCATTTCCATGGTATTATTGATATGTAATACGTCTGTAGATTTTCTGTTTCCTGCTTTGGGTCTTTCAGGCTTATTATGAATGTTTAGCATTTAAAATTCTAAGTAGTTTATATTGAGACCTTCCAGATAGGCGCTTACACGATGCAATTATTCTAGCAATTACTCTCGTTTGTATGTTACATAACCTCCTTCCCTCTAGCTCTGTTTTAGTTTCCACCACCTCCGAGGGCATATCTTCCGTTTCCACCTTGTCTGTGTCATCTCCTGATTCGGCCCATCCAGAGAAGTCGGTCCATCACTTGCCCCCCAGGTTTGACCAGCCCCTCTTTCTGGACTCTGCCCCATCTGCAGTCATCTTCCGCCTCCTTCAAATACAGAGATAAGGCAGGCAGGATCCTCCACCCCTTCCTTCCCAGGGGCACAGCATCTTCAGATGACAAGGACTACAAATACCTCAATCTGCCAGGGAACCTTCCAGATAACTCCGATTCTGCCACCAAGAAGCCAGCTCCCGGTGCCAGCAGGAGCCAGGCAGCGTTTTCCACCCAGACCGTGGACCGCTTCCCGTTGCTGTCACGTGCTAGCTTCCAGACGACCAGAGGCTCGCCCGGGAACCCGAGTCCAGCAGATCCATCTGAGTTCTCCTAGGCGAGGTGAAGAGCGCTGTGGTTCGACTCCACGAGGACCTGAGCCTGGTGATCCGGGGGCTCAGCGTCATCAACAGCCACCTGGGCAGCCTAGGTGGCAGCAGCCCGGCAGCCAGCCAGTCTCCCGAGGGCGGCTCAGAGAGAATCTAGTCGCCTCCCAGCCGGCTTGGTAGACCGCACCACATGGCTCCACTGCCCAAAGACTGGGGAGGTTAACAGTTTTAAGGAGAGTTGCTATGGAGACAAACAATGACAGCTTAATAGTCCCTTGTCAAGTGTACTAACAAGTATCTTTCAGACCAACAGGTTCATTTTGTTGGGTGTATTTTTTCAAAAGAAAGAAATCACTTTTGATCATTTCCGATTTAGATATTAGTTCATTTGAAACTGAAGAGAATTTCGTTCATTCTTCCTTTTCTGTACTTTGTCCCCAATGGGTTAAACATTAGTGAAAGTTGTGGCAAGACCTTAAAGTGCAAATAGCTATGTCAGGGCCTCTAGGTGAGCACTGGAGCAGGAGGAAACCCTAGACTCCCCATTCTGCCAAAGCTTGGTCACTAACAAGCGTCCCTTCTGCCTGAATTCAAGGCCTGTGTCTCAAACGTTCCTCTGAAGGTTTCAGGCTCTGCAAATCAAAGGCAGGAATCTCTTCAGCTGCCACAGGGTCAAGAGTTAAGTCCAAACAAGTGTGATGTACCGCATGTGTTTTTACCATTAGCATGTGTTGCAGTGTTCAAATGCATACCTTTTTCCTTGTATTTCATAAAAATAAATTTGATTTTTTTTCCATCTTTATCTTTTGTATTCATTAAAACAACTTTTCAAATAAAAATGCCTCATTTACAGATAAAATGACCTAGTTTGGGTATTACAGACCTGTGATTCCCAGCCCAAGTGCATGTTGGGATCAGCATGGAAGCTTTGTGGTGTTAGGGATGGAACCCAGAGGATCAAACACAGGTTGTAAGGCTTGGCAGGAAGTGGCTGCACCCACTGAGCCATCTGCCCACCCTCCTGCAGATAGTTTCAAGCATGTCTTTACTTAAAAGAAGAATAATCAGGGCTGGAGAGATAGCTCACGGGTTAAGAGCACTGACTGCTCTCACAGAGGACCCAAGTTTGATTCCCAGCACCCACATGGTGGCTGCAAACCATCCTTAACTCCAATTCCAGGGGAATCCGAAGCCCTCTTCTGACCTCTGTGGCATTGCATGAGACAGGTGCACTCACTTACATGCAGGCAGTACACTCATACACATAAAATAATAAATAAAATATAAAAAAGAATAGTAATCACATATTCTTACTAACAAGTATAGAGTTATTTTATGTAAGGGCACCACATGAGTGCAATGTCTGTGGAGGCCAGAAGAGGGTGTTGGATCCCTTGGAACTAGAGTTAAAGATAGTTGTGAGCTACAGGTCGTCTGCAAGAGCAACCAGTACTCTTAACCACTGGGCCATCTCTCTAGCCCCAGGTATAGAATTCTTACTATTATAGAAAGAAGAGCAAGTTAAGCTAGAGCATATTCTAACACACTGTAAGTCTGAATCATATGAAATGTTTAAAAATTGAGATATAAGTCACATACCATGAAATTTGTCCCTTAAGAGATATGGTCTAATAAACGTTTAGCACACTCACAAGGCTGGGCAGCCATTACCACCATCTAGTTCCAGAACATTTTCCTCACCATAAAAGATACCTCCACACCTGTTAGCAGGTGTATTTTCCCCCCGGATCACTTTTCTCATTGTTTTGACAAGAAGCAATTTGAGGAAGGAAAGGTTTATTCTGGCTTATAGTTTAAGGGAATAGATTGCATCATGGCAGGAAAGGTGTGGCAGCAGGAGCAGGAGGCCAGCTGTTCACATTGCATCCATTGTCAGGAAGCAGAGTACAAAGAGGAAGTGGGGCTAGGCTATAAAACCTCAAGGCCCTCCCCCCAGTTACCCAACTCCTCCAGGAAGGCTCCACCTCCTAACGGTTCCCCAACCTTTCCAAACAGTGCCACCAACTGGGGACCATGTGTTCAAACACATGAGTCTAAGGGGGACGTTTCTCATTCAGACCCCATGTTCTTGGCAAACAAAATTTGCTGTCTACCTCCATGCTATTCATATAAACAGAATCATACAGGTGTGTACACAACCAACTGAGCTACATCCCCAGCCCAAAGAGGAATCCTATGATAAGGCATTTGTATCTGATTTCTGTCATTTGGCATCATACTGTGACATCCATCCATGCTGTAGATGGATCAGGACTTTATTTTTTATGGAAAAGTAAGGCAATCAAGACAGTTCCCCACAGACCAAGCTGATTTAGACAACCTTCAGTGAGACTTCCTTCCCAGAGGACCATAGGTTGTCATTTGACAAGTAATAGTAGCCACCACAAGGTCTCTTAGGTATATAAGTGGAATAGCTGGGTCAGAAGACACCATCACTCCGGTTATGCAAGCCAAGATCTTAGCTGAAGCTTCCAAACATCCAGGTGAATCACAGACTCAACTTGCTTATCAGGAGTGGTCATTTCCCACCTTCTCTCTGGAGCCACTGGGTGTCACTTTATTGAAAGAAGCAGCGTGTGAGGCTTCCCATTCTAGCAGCCATCCAAAATGGAAGTAGGAGCTTGTTAGACTTCATGGCTGCCCTTAAGGAAAAGGGCTCTGGCCAGCTGAGGTAGTACACTAATCCCAGAGTTTAGAAGGCTGGGGTCAGAGAATCTCAAGTTGGAGGGAGGCCAACCTGGGTTACATAAGGGAGTTCCAAGTTAGCCTCCGTTAAATAGTGAGACCCTGTCTCAAACACAGAGGGGTCTGTGCTTAACTGGCAGGTGTCTTTTTGAGAACCTATTTATATGGTCCTGGGAATTTGGCAGGAACAAAACCAGATACAGCGCCTGCCCTCAGCTTGAGTTCTGGAGTTTGAGAGGGATTTGGTAAATTAATCAAATCATCTCCCCAAATGTATAAGGATATTGCAGATACTAAGGAATTTGGGGAGATTTCATCTAAGAAAGTAACCTTGAAGCTGAAATATGAATTCCAGGATTATTGAAATAAATGCCCTAACATGTTGGGCCCATAAAGTTAGTTGAGCATTAAATTAGAATATAAAATAAAGAAGACGTCAGAGGACCTCCCCCAGTGCTCTCCATCTGGAGCACCATCAATAGACTCTCAGGCGTTAGTGGTATACATAGCTCCTTTTGTAGTGGTTCAAACATTTCTTAGTTAAACAATGTTAAGAGTAGAGAATAAAAATCCTTCAAGATACTGGGTGTGTGGCACACCTTTAATCCTCGCACTTGAGAGGCAGAGGCAGGTAAATCTCTGTGATATGGAGGCCAGCCTGGTCTACATAGCAAGCTCCAGGCCAGCTGGGGGCGATGCACAGAGACCCTGTCTCAACAAAACAAAGCAAAGCGAAAGTCCTTGAGACACAACACCTCTCCCTCCCCATCCAAATCCCTGAAAGCTACTACATCAGGGCTGTTGAACACGGGACCCCACAATAACTGGGGAAACCAGTAGCACTTTGCAAAATTCCCTCACTTTTTATCTGCCTTCCACACACACAGTCACTTCAGATTGTAACTGGGTTTTACATAGCTCATATAGTTTAATACAACCATTTGCTAATTAGTATAATTAACAAGCACTTATTTGAGTTTCTATTTAGCCAACTCCATTAATCCAGTAGAAGAAACTTGGCTTAAATCAAGAGAGGGGTCTATCCTGATTGACTTTACAATTATCTCCAATTAAAAATAACTTCATTATATTTATCCTAACAGTGTTTTAGTTTGAACTTGAGGATCCTATTATAAAGCAGTTATAAAAATATTTTACAGTTTACTTACTGTCAAATTACTCATGTGTGTGTTCTTTAAATATTTATAAAGCACTGTTACGCGTAGGCAGCCTGCCAGACATCAGGGACACAATAGTGATCAAGATAGATGAATCCCTGTCTTCAGAATTTTAGCTCTGCGGCCATGAGGAAGGAGGGCTTTGTAATTGTGGCACAGTACGTGGCTCCTGTGGACTTGCAAAGCATTGGCTGGTGAGGCAGGGCCTGGTACAGAGCCACAGCAGCTTGGAGGCGTGGGGCAGGGAATGCCACTTAGAGGAAAGTATTCTACACGGAATCTGGGACAAGCAGAGGTTGCTGGGGAGACAGAGCTTTCTAAGTGGAGAGGACAGTGTGTTCATAGGGAGCCAGACAACAGCCGTGGGATGCTGTGGAATGTAAGATGTGCGGTCAGGAGTTTGAGTACTTGCATGGTGGCAGCCCTGTTGGGGGTAACTAAGTGGCCTTTACTGACTCAGAAAAGGACTGACTGAGCAACATGTAAATGGATTGTATTGAAAATAAAATGTCACAGAAATTTGGGGATGAAAAGTTTCTAAAAACCCATCCACAAACTGAATAAAAACAGATTTTCAAGAGCGTTTTCAGACACCTTGCTGAATCACCTGCCCACCAAATGAACCCCCTGTGACTGTGGTTTGCCCAAATGGACAAGGAGCCCCTTTTTCACTGTGTCCTCATTTTAAAAAGAGTATTTTATAGAGAGAGGACGTATCAAGAACAATTTGGTGACTCTGTTACATATTCAGTATTTCTGGGGACTCTTTTTCTAGGTCTTACTTTATTTTTAATAGAGTGGATTCTGAGATGTGATAAAAAGGGGTTTAGGCATATGGACTTGAGAGGTTTTATTTCTTGCAGAACACCAAGTCATTTGAGGAGGCCAATCACATTATTGTTATACCAGAATATATATGCCACCTTTTATCAACCAGCAGGCTCAGGGAAAAGTAAATTGGCTCAGAAGAAACAGGGTTTTCAGGATGATTTTTGTTTGGTAATTTTGAATTCTGTTTTCTCCCTGATGGTGCAGAAAGTTCTCAAAGATATGATAATTACTGCAGAAATACGGCTGCAGGCGTTTGCAGCTATTTAAACAGTAAGATTCCATTAGAAAATGTCACAATCTATGGGTTCAGTTATGCTGCTGTTCGGAATCTGTCCCCTATACCATATCCTACAGATTTCTTTGTGTGTGATAGAGCCAGTACATGTTTGTGTGTGTGGTGGCCAGAGGTCAATCCCCAATGTTGTCCTCAAACCCTCTACCTTGTTTTGTTTTGTTTTGTTTTTTT